TAAGAGTTGTGATGAGTGCTGGGTGTTGCATGGAAGTGCTGAATCACTGAATTGTACACCTGAAACTAATATTACACTGTACATTAACTGGAAATTTAATAAGAACTTTCTTATAAAAATTTTTTTAAATGAGGTAAATTAGACCCAAATGCACAAGTTTGAGATGTCCACACTATATTCTGAAAAAAATGTTGCAAAATATTATGTAATTCTACTTTTGTTAAAAACAAATAGAAAAACATCCCAGTTATGTATGCATATTCATACATTTGTAATAAACCTAGAAACGTACACACTGAAGTTTACTAGGTGGTTGGGAAAAGACAAAGGAAATTTACTTTCTGGTTTGCATTTAAAATATTTTTAATCAGGGGCGCCTGGGTGGCGCAGTCGGTTAAGCGTCCGACTTCAGCCAGGTCACGATCTCGCGGTCCGTGGGTTCGAGCCCCGCGTCAGGCTCTGGGCTGATGGCTCAGAGCCTGGAGCCTGTTTCCGATTCTGTGTCTCCCTCTCTCTCTGCCCCTCCCCCGTTCATGCTCTGTCTCTCTCTGTCCCAAAAATAAATAAACGTTGAAAAAAAATTAAAAAAAAAAAAAAATATTTTTAATCAAAGTTAACATAAGCTCATAGTAAAACATACAAAGCCAATTCATATGGTACAAAGAGTATTTAAATAAAATGTAAAAGCCTCCCCTCCCTCCCAATCCCCAACAACTGCTATCATCATAAAAAGTCCTCCTACCCAACTATCTACCATTAACCTCTGGAGTTTGGCATTTCCTACGTATAAAACTGTTTATTTTTAATACCCCAAAGTAAATGATTTCTACGTGTGTACATTGAAAAGGACGCCTCAATGTAACATATAAGTAACATATTGCTACATTTTCGGATTATTCATACACTGATAAAGGGAAATAGGGAAAAAGGAAGACAGAAAACCAAAAAACAAAATACGAACTCTGATCATATAGAATTTATTATATAAACTACACTTAACAAAAATCTCTTGAAATAGTTTCACTTTTCCTTATTGTAAAATAGGTTCATAAAAATTCAAAACATTAAAGTCTATGTATTAAAAGCACATTTTCCTTAATTCTACTCACAAGAAATATGCATTGTTTGTAGTTTATTGTCTTCCGTACTGCTTTCCCCCATATGCTTGTACTAACATATTTTGTGTTGTATAATTTTATGAATTTTTTAAACGAAATAAGATTTTTTACATGTTCTTAAAATAACTTAAAAGCCTATTAAAGCATTTTAAAACAGTATTTCTTAGAAACTAGCCAAAAATTGATGAATTTATTGATATTAGAGCAAAGATGCTTCTCAGCCAAATAATGTGCTCGTTATTCCTCATTATGTTAATATGGATATACAATCCTTATGCCAATGGATAATGGAGGACACTGAGGTTCTGGGGTCAAAGAGGCCTGAAACTGAATCCATTCCATTGCTTACAAGTTCTTGGCAAAACATTTAAGTTTGCTTTAGGCTTCTTATGAAGGAGGGAAAAAAAAAAAAAAAAAAAGCTAGTATTACCAAACTCAAAGAATTGATGTAGCATGTATAACAATGGAAGCCCAATGCTTGGCACATGGCAATCACTATTATCAACAAAGGCAGCGTGTTTTAGCTGATTACGTGCTTTAATCTAATAGTGAATGAAGATTCTTGGCTGCAGTTTTCTTTTCCCCTGTAAGAAACTAATCACTTTGATATAATTAAGCCTGGGATAGAAATTCCAATCCCCACATCTATATGCTTAATTGAATAATACAAACTTATCTAAAAATGTGCATACTCAGTAATCCTACTTCTAAGAATCTGAAGGAATTAAAGGTTAAAAAATTTAGTTCCAAAATAGCTACTGCAGTATGGCTTATTAAAAAATGTCCTCAATGTCCAAAAAGGGATGGATTAAAGAAATGATTATACAAACACTGAAACTAATGGTATAGAAATATGTTTTACATAGAAAGAGGTTACCCAACAGGCTATAAAGTATAATCTACCCTTGAAACACAGAGAAAATACTCTAAGTTTTATTTCTGGATGGAGGAATTACAATTCTTACTTTCGTCTTTTAATGTGCCTATACTTCTTTTATTTTTTAATTTTTTTTTAATGTTTATTTATTTTTGAGAGACAGAGTGCGAGCAGGGCAGGGGCAGAGAGGGGAGACACAGAAAACAAAGCAGGCTCCAGGCTCTGAGCTGTCAGCACAGAGCCCAATGTGGGGCTCAAACCCATGGACTGTGAAATCATGACCTAAGCAGAAGTCGAAAGCTTAACCGACTGAGCCACCCAGGCACCCCATAATGTGCCTGTATTTCTACAATGAACATGTACTATTATGTGTACTTGTTTTAAATAAGAAAATGTTCTGAAATTAATTTTTTCCTCTAACTTATGCATGTTAATTTCCTTCTCCCTCTTCAGTTTATGCACAAGAGGAGAAGAGCAGCGAGTACAAGCATTCCACCTTTACAGAAGGGGAATCTGAAGAACAGGTTACATTACTTGTTCTTGGTCCCTTAATTGTAGGCCAAAACTTAATTATCTTTTCCATTAAACCGTCCTTCTTGGTTTATACACGGGAGCTTCCCATGTATACATACATAATCAAGTCTGTTAATGAAACGAACGTAAAAAAGTATAAATGCCAAAACCAACTAACTTAAATGGAACACTTCCTTCTTCTTTCTGCAAGAAATTCTTTCCTTTCCTCTTTCTGGAAATACCTATGTCTCACTACCTTGGTGTCAGCAACTGGAATATAGAAAAAAAAGTTTTTGAAGAGCTAGTTTATATGTATCATTAAATACTGTAGCGTTTCAGAAAAGTTACAGGTTATCTATTAGCTATGCTTTTTGCAAGATAAGTATTCAATAAATAAAGGTCCAGGTATCTGGAAAAGCTATGTTTTCACTCAATAATTTAAGCTCCACAGTAAATACAGTGTAAAAACAAACTACAGTGATGTATTAGTTCAGCAACAAAAGATCCTGAATAACAGTACACAGCCATGAAAAAGAAGGACAGAGTTGCTGATGCAAGCTAAGAATACAAAACTTCCACCTGATCGATATTCTCATTTGGATTTGGTTCATTCTAGATATTAGTAGTGGCTCTTACACACAGATCAGAAATATCATATTAAATCTCAGCCACACAGAATTAGCCAATGTGCTTAAGAATAGTAGTAAACAGACTTCTAGAACATGAAAATGAGCACCCTAATTTTTAAAGAACACCCTGTCTGTTAAGTCTGGCCAGGTTCTTTAGAGGGTCATGGACTCACTACTAAGACATCTGAACCCGGAAATACAGTACGTCTTACAGTTCCAGTTTCTGATCTTTTAGGATAAGGCTTTAAGGATTAGGGGAATGTTCATCCTACCCGTCACTTTTTTTCCACGGGCTAAGTCCCTGAAGCCAGAGACTGTCCCCATTAAACCTCTACTCTGCTGAAAGAGGACAGTGGAATTTACTGGTTCTTTTCTGGCAGCCTGTATCTGTTGTGGTGCTAAACAAGATCTGGCAGACATGAAGTCATAAATGAGTTCACAATTACTGCCTCAGCCTCTCATTGTGCATAAAGGTTGGAAAAAGATGTAAAATGAAGCAAGCATTGCTCATTGCTCAAATGCTCATATTTGAGAATTTAAACATGCAAATTTTACATGGATGTACATGCACAGAATATAATAAATGTATCTAGAATAAGATGGTATAAAACCCTTTGGAATATTCTTGAAAGAAACCAAAGCACACACTGCTTCAAGTAAGCTACTCTTCAACATCTCCTTGACATTTTTTAATTATTCATAAAAGTATAGTAATTTTATCATTTTAAAGGGTTAGTTTAACACTGATCTTAAGATTAGTCTTATATTTACATAAATATTACATTTTGGAGAGTCTAATTAATGTTTACTTTTCCACAGAAAGTAAGATATGAACAGTTGGTTTGTTCATAAAACTACGGGAAACAGGAGCCAACAATAAAAGGCTAGTTCTTCATATTCCTGTCTTAATTATTCTTTGTCTAATTATCCTTTGCCAACAAACTTCGCAGAAGAGAGAAACAATGGAACATGTGGAAACATGTTTCCGTGACATAATGCCACTCCTAAATCTTTCATCAACTGTTCATAAAAGAATCACTCCACAGTCTTGTTTATACAGGACAGCCTCCTGATCCTTCTACAATTCATTCTGCACAAATACGCTTTTGATAGGTTCTAGCTGCACCGCTTTCCATTAACAGACTAACATTACCAACACAGGAGGCCAACAACTCCCATCCCTCACTGCCTCGCTATTAATGCATCATTAACAATACGCCACTGGAAATCGGCTCGATTACCCCGAATTTTCAAGGGCATTGGGGGAAAACGCCGCATACCTTAACAACTTCTCATAAATAAATAAATAAATGCCAGATGACGCTGCAACTCATCTTTCTGATGTGTGCAGTCTAAGTTTTTATTTCTTACTTTTCTGAAAGCTGTCACGCAGAAAGACACGGGGAAAGGAGAAAGGGCAGAATGAACGAAGAATTCTTTACTCAGCTAATGGGAATTGCCCGCCCGCAGCCGATAATCTCAGGCAAACCCCACTAAAGGTAACCAGACATCTTTTCAGAAATTCGTTCAGGATATCGAGATGGTTCCGCACCAACCCCCCAAAACTAAGCAGGCCTGGGGAACAGAGGCGGGGAAGGGGTAATGGGGGCGTGTGTGGTTACAGAATGGTGATTCGAGAACTATGCGAGTTAAGACCCTTGTCCTTGAAGGAAAAGCAGGTTTGCAGTCCGACTCCCACCTGGGCCCGCCAACCTGCGGTCTCTAGAGATTGCAGTTGATGGGCTGCACCTGTCATCACAAGGTTCGGCGCGCATCAGAAGAAACCAGCAGGCAGGACCACGTCGTAGGGTCTGGAGTAAACGTTTGTTAGGGTTGGGGTTATGATCAAGCCAAGACACTTACGGGGTACACCTGTCGCTGTACTCATTGGCGATGGTCTCGATGCCGCCACTCCTTGCTACAGCGATGTAGCAGTTGAGAAAGCCGAGGTCAATGCCAACCACAGACATCCCGCCTCCTAATCGTCGGGGTGCTTGTGCTGAAGCCTCTTGTGCGGGAACAGCGTCCTCTTCTGAGCTCTTGCTCAAGGAATTGGGACTCCTAAGAGAAGCAAAGGAAAAACAACCCGAAGTCGCTACGCATTAAATCTAGGACAGTGCGTCGGGCAGCAGCGGCGGAGATGAAGGCCTCCCTGGCCGCTGCCTCCGCCGCCTAGATCTCTCTCCACTGCGGTTCGGCCGCCTCCAACCGGCAGTTACATACGTCTGCGCCTGCGCGCTCGACAGCCAGGGAGGTGCGCGAGTCTCCTCTCCGCGCCCGAGGCTGCTCCCCGCCTAGACTTCGGCCCCTTCCGTCAGTACTCGGGCAACGGCTGCCCGAGGAGCTGCGGGTTCGAGAAAGATCTGGAAAATGGAGGCGGCTGAGGCAGCCGGGGGTGGGAGGGAGAAGGCGGAGCGGGTAGGATCGGGGAGGATCAGGGAGGAGAGGAGGGGAAGCGAAGGCAGTTTGCTCGCCATCGCGCGGCAGCTGGGAGCACTGCGGGTGGGCTAGGTAAGAGGCAGTCTCCCGGCCCCGCGCTTTGCCGGTGTGTTTTGAAGCACCCCTTTTGGGTTGTTTTGGCAACTAGGGGCACGCCTAATTACAGTGGCTGGATAATGCCCAGGCTTGCCCGAAGTCGGTAGCAAAGGCCGGAAGGCGCTGGCCTGGCGCCGCCTCCTCTGTCTTTCCCATAGAAGGGCTACCCACAGCCAGAGCACCCACCCGTCGGCCTTGCCGCCCCGTGGGGCCCATGTGTCTCCAGCCCACTGCGCTCGCAGTCTGGCCGCGAGGTCCTGCCGCGCGCCGCGCCTGGCTCTGTGAGGTGGCGCCCATTGTGCCGCACGGCGGCCTCCTCGTCTCACCTGCCTCCGGGGGGCGCTGCTGTTCAGGGGGCGGGGGAGAAAGGAGTCCTTTTCATTTCACTAGCTGCAGTTTCTTGTGTGAAAGCAGCTGAACAAATTTTAGGGTTTTATTTTTGCTTACCAGGGCCTGCAATGCCAAAGAACAAACTTAGGCCAAGAAACAAGAGCGCACTGACAACTTTCCCTTCATGTAGCTTCTTTACACTATCATAAAGATGCGGTCTCCTCCACTAACCCTCACCTCTGAAAACCAGTATTACAGGAAAGTGACCTTACGGCTGTGTGTCACTATGACACCAGGCAAACTTGTGCCTTCCCTCCATACTCTGCCCTTTGGTCCGCAGAAAAAGAGCCTAGTGTGGTCCAGCTGCTTGCCTTCATTTGATCTGCATCTTTTTTCTATCTGAAAATTAATCAAGTTATAGTTTACACTTACAGAGTTTTACTGTCCTGTTCCTTCTTGTTCAGTTTTTTGTGGGTTTCCTGTTCCTTCTTGTTCAGTTCCTCGTGGGTTCCCTGTTCCTTTTCACCCAATTCTTTGTATGTTTCTTGTTTCCTATTTGTTTCCTTCTTGAAATAGGATTTTTTACCAGATATTTTAATACTCTTCTTGTTCCTACTTGTTCTCTTCTTTAAAGAACTTACACTTTTTACTACTATCAATGCTGCGACTGCAGCAGCAGCAACTGTGAATATAGCTCCAGCTGCTGTTGCTAAGAGGAACATGAAGTCCATTTTCAACGGGAATACTAAGGAAACTGGAATGTATGGTACTGTTTTGAAACCAGTCTTTTTATATTAAGGAGTCACATCTTTCTCCCATTTCACAAGCACACAGGAGAATGTGTAGCTCCCAGTTGACGCTGTCCTCGGTCTTCTTCTACGCTACCAAACTGGGTGGAGCGGCCTCCCAGTAGGCAGTGTGGGAGCAGATTAGGGATTCGGTACTGCCGCCCCCAAAAGAACCCTGGGCCCCCAGCCGTACTGGGCGTCTCATGGCTTCTACCTTTCCTCCTCTGTTGCTTCTTCTGCCATCATCCTTTTGAGCCTACCACCGTCTAGATTTATTCCAGATTTATCCTGAAACTCCCGTAGGACCATTTATCTATGCTGTCTGTAAAACTTGAGGATGTGGGAATGATTTTTCTATTTCTATTAAAGAACATTTAAAATATTAAAAAGAAACAGTTGACGTCAGGAGCAAGGGGTTATCATCGCATTCTTTACTATTACTGGGAGGAAATCATAATACCTAGTGGCTAAAAGCATGACAAGCTTTGGGGTCACATAGACTTGGATTGTAGTCCCAGGCTCACCTAATTTATAGTGGTAGGACCTTGCCAAATGACTTAACACTCAAGGTTCAAAATCTGTTAAAGACAAATACACCTACTATGTTGTTTTTTTATGATTAAATAATGTAAGCATAACAATAGTGCTTAGTTGGCACCAAAAAAGCCAAAAAATGGAAGTTATGCCTAGCCATTGCTAGAATATAAGAATATTGACTTATTTACATTGATCCATATACAGCAGCCTCGCTGTACTCTCATAAATCTAGTATTTGTAAAGTTTCTTGGATTTTCTGTGTATAGAATCATGTGGCCTAGGACATAACTAATCTTTTTTTCATTTTTAATCCTTTACATGTTTTTTCTTAATTATGTTGCCTAAAGTCTCTAATATGATGTTGAATATGAGCAGTAGTGATAAGCATATTTATCTTGTGCCTAACAAATACTTCCGTGTTTTTGATGTAAGTTAAAATTATCCTCTTTTCCTGTTTGCTAAGAGTTTTTCTCCTAAGTGGACATTGAAACTTAACAAAAGTTATTTATCTATTGGTATGATCTTTTTCTTTTCCCTTAATCTGTTAATGTGAGTATTAATAGATTTTTCTAATATCCTTGTGTTCCTGGTATAAACCAGCTACGTTATGATATTCTGATTATTTTTAGATCTATTGGATTTGGCTTGTGCTTATTTTATTTAGAATGTTTGCATTTTAAATAAATTTTCCTTTCTTTACTCATCTTGTTGATATCAGGATTATACTAGCCTCAGAGAAGTTGAGACATTTCCTCTCTTTATTCTTTTGCAAAGTTTTGGTAAAATATGCCTGTAAACCATTTTGACCTTGAGCTTATGAGGCTTATGACCACTGGTTAAATTTCTTTAGTGGTTATAGTCTATGTTTTCTATTATTTCTTGAATTAATATTGATTTATGTTTTTACAGAAAATTTACCGTGCTAAGTTTTCACATTTGCTATCATTGTTGAATACTCACTTATGAGTTTTGAAAATCTCTTCTGCAGTTATATGTCCATTTTTTTTTTCATTTTTTTTTTTAATGTTTATTTTTGAGAGAGAGAGAAAGAGAGAGTAAACAGGGTAGGGGCAGAGAGAGAGGGAGACATAGAATCTGAAGCAGGCTCCAGGCTCTGAGCTGTCAGCATAGAGCCCAAGGCAGGGCTCGAACTTGGGAGCAGCGAGATCATGACCTGAGTGGAAATTGGGCCCTCAACCGACTGAGCCACCCAGGCATCCCTCCATTTTCTCATTCTTAATATTGTTTATTTGAATCTTTTTTTTTTTCTTGGTTCCTATCACTGGTGCTTTGTTACAATGTCTTTGTTTTCTACTTCATCTGCTGTTTATTATTTCCTTCTGTATTTTTATGTTTACTTTGTTCTTTTTCTGATCTCCTGAGTTTAACACCTAGCTCATTAATTTTCAGTCTTTCTTATTTTTTGATACATGTATTTGCAGTCATAAATTTCCTTCCAGATACCATTTTAGTTGAATCTCTACCTGAATTTTCAAACAACTGAGATAGAAGAGCAGGCAATGGATATAAAAATACCAGCATGAATACTGCTGGTAAAACATTACAGAAATGTATGCATCTATAGGCTTGTGATTATTGCACCCCAGAATTAAGCAGATTTATCTAGAAGGAGATAGACCACCCCTCTAAAAATCCAAGGAGAAATAGACCAGAATGTGCGTAGGCTCTCAAGAAAAGTGAGAACAAGGCCAAATTACTCCCCAATTCATCAAGTTAAGTCACTTTTCCCATGAAAAAGTCTTTTGTAGCCTGTGCTCATTTAGGTTTACCAATATATTTACCAATTTGTTTACTTTGTTGCTTGTTGTATCCCACTCTTTTCTGGGTTCAGTTTTCTTTCAGTAATTCTTTAAATAAAGGTCTCTGATTGAACTTATGTTTTTGTTCTTCTCAAAAATCTTTTCTTAACCTAATTTTTGAATAATAATTTAGCTGTGTATAGAATTCTTGACAGTTACCTTCCCTTATTTTTTTGGCATCCATTATTATTGAAGAGACTAAATATTGTTTTTAATTTTTTCTAACGTGTATTTATTTTTTGAGACAGAGAGAGACAGAGCATGAATGGGGAAGGGTCAGAGAGAGTGGGAGACACAGGATCTGAAACAGGCTCCAGGCCCTGAGCCTTCAGCACAGAGCCCGAAGCGGGGCTCGAATTCATGGACTGCGAGATCATGACCTGAGCCGAAGTCGGCCGCTTAACCGACTGAGCCACCCAGGTGCCCCTAAATATTGTTCTTTTGAAAATCATGAGTTTGTCTTTTTTTTTTCTTTGATATTTGGCAGCTTAATTACGATGTGTCTAGGTATGGATTTCTAAAAGTTTATTCAGAGATTTTTGTTAACCTGAGGATGAATGGATTTTTTAGGTTCTGGAGAAGTCTCAGACATTATCCCTTTGATAATTGCTTCTCACCCCTTCTTTTCAGTTTCTTTTGGATCTCCTATTAGAATGTGTAGGGTCTCTCTATTCTAACCTCTATGACTCTTATTAACCTTTCTTTGTCATCTATTTTTAATTTCGAGCACTCTACTGTTTTTAGACGTTAATTTTCAAACTTGTCCTTTCATACGGTACTGTTTTCATCATTTCTCTCCCTTCAAAAAATCTATTAATCACTTTAAACATTCTAATTTTATAGTCTCTTTTAGAATATTTTATCACATTTTTAGTTCTTGGGTGCTAATTCTTTTATGTGCCAACTCTGCCACATAGTGCTTTCTTGTTTCCTCGGTATGAATTATATTTTGACCATAAATTCA